AAAAAAAAAAAAAAAGCCATGGTGGTTCATGCCTGCAATCCCAGCACTTTGGGAGGCCAAGGCAATCAGATTGCTTGAGGCCAGGAGTTCAAAACCAGCCTGGTCAACATGGCACAAGGACACAGAAAGGTTAAAAGGACTGACGCCGGGCATGGTGATTCACACCTGTAATCCCAGCACTTTGGGAGCCCAAGGTGGGTGAATCACCTGAGGTGGGGAGTTCAAGACCAGCCTGACCAACATGAAGAAACCCCATTTCTACTAAAAATACAAAATTAGCCAGGCATGGTGGTGCATGCCTGTAATCCCAGCTACACAAGAGGAGAGAATCGCTTGAACTTAGGAGGTGGAGGTTGCAGTGAGCCAAGAATGTGCCATTACACTCAACCCTGGGCAACAAGAGCAAAACTCTGTCTCAAAAAACAAAACACATAAAGAAATTAAGTAAGTAAAGGGATTGAAAAACTACACCAAACATACATAAGAAAGCTATAGACAACACAGACATGGAGGCATTACAAGAGAAAAAAGGTCACTACATAATAATAAAAGTGTCAATGCTTCAGGATGAAATAAAAATGGAGATTAGAAATTTACTGAAATTGCTGGCCGGGCATGGTGGCTTATGCCTGTAATCCTAGTACTTTGAGAGGCTGAGGTGGGCGGATCACCTGAGGTCAGGAGTGTGAGGCCAGCCTGATCAACATGGCAAAACCCCGTCTCTATTGAAAATACAAAAATAAGCTGGGCGTGCTAGTGGACACCTGTAATTCCAGCTATTCAGGAGGCTGAGGCAGGATAATCACTTGAACTCAGGAGGCAGAGGTTACAGTGAGGTGAGATCTTGCCACTGTACTCTAGCCTGGGTGACAAAGTGAGACTCCATCTCAAAAAAAAACAAAAAAGAAATTTACTGAAATTGAAAATACTATGTATCAAACTTGCAGGATGTAGCCTAAGCCATTCTTAAATGGTAGTTTATAATACTAAATGCATAAGGCTGGAAATCAATGAGAAACTGGAGCAAAACTCCAAAAAGTATAGACATAAGAGCAAAAAGTAATTAAACAGGAAAAATGAAATGCATAAAACTGAAAAGATCAATACAGCCAAAATTTGGTATTTGAAAAGATCAAATAAATTGACAACGTTTTGTCAAGACTAATCAAGCAGAAAAAGAAAAGGAGTGCAAACAACTATTATCAGGAAAGACAGTGTGATTACATATGATGCAGACAATAAAAAAGTATTAGGAGTTTGTTAAAATATTTTTAAGCCAATAATTTGAAAATTTAGATGAAACGGACATATTCCTAGAAAATTATAACTTATCAAAACTGTCTCAAAACAAAATAAAACAAACTCTGAATTGTCCTATAACCATTTTTTAAAATTATTTAACTCAAAATCTTCTTAGAAAGAAAACCCAAGGCTCTAACTTTTTAATTGGTTAGTTCCATCAAACATTCCAGGAAAAATAACTCTGATCTTATAATTCCAGGCCCTGATTTTTTTTTTTGAGATGGAGTCTTCCCCTTGTTGCCTAGGCTGAAGTGCAATCTCAGCTCATTGCAACCTCTGCCTCTTGAGTCTTCAAGTGATTCTCCTGCCTCAACTGAATATCTGGGATTACGGGTGCCTGCCACGACACCGAGCTAATCTTTGTATTTTAGTAGAGATGGGTGTTTCACCATGTTGGTCAGGCTGGCCTTGAACTCCTGATCTCAGGTGATCCACCCACCTCAGCCTCCCAAAGTGCTGGGATTACAGGCATGAGCCACCACGCCTAGCCAGGCCCTAATTTTTATTGGTTAGTTCTACCAAACATTCTAGTGAAAAGTAACTCTAATCTTATGCAAATTTTTCCAGAAAACAGATAATGAAAGCTCCCTAAACTCCTTTTAGAAGGCTAACACTACCTTGATTTAAAAAA